ATTTGGTATATTGGTGATTCCACCATTCATAAACTTGTCAATTTCATCCATTACATTCTGTAATATTGAAAAGAACATAGAACAGTGAAAGTTCATGATATTTCTATAATCTAAAGAAATGTTCAATTTATACTCGATGAATATCACAGAAATTTCAAGATTGCTTGGTCTAAAAATCCAAGATATGAAATTTTCTTCAAATAATAACCTTTTGAAAATGCGATAAAAGGAGATGGGTAAACATGACGAAAGATAATCCCATAGCGCAACAAAAACAAGAGGCCCAAGGGCCTTGAATCGCTCTTCTGATAAATTGTACAACCTATCACTTGTATTTAAAGCCTCTAACCCTAAGTATCCTATTAAAGACCCAAGTTGCATCACCTGACAAAGTTTGATGACTCTTAGCCAATTAGAACTCCTTTTTGGTCTACATTCTTGGAAATCACAAAATGCATCAAGTGACAAAGTTTGATAATTCTAAGCCAATAAATACCTGAGATATTCAAAAGTAGGTCACTGTGACCTACTCTTTGGTCAACATTCTCAGAAAACCCAAGATGCATCAACTGACCAAGTATGATGATTCTTAAGTAATAAGTACCAGAGATACTTAAATATAGCCATAAAATGTTGAAAGTAGGTCATTGTGACCTACATTTTGGTTGACATTTTTTAGAGTCCCAAGATGCATCTGCTGACCAAGTTTGATAATTCTAAGCCAATAAATACCTGAGATATTCAAAAGTAGGTCACCATGACCTACTTTTAGGTCGACATTCTCCGCAAATCCAAGATGCATCAACTTTGTCATGACCTACTTTTTAGGTCGACATTCTCCGCAAATTTAAGATGCATCAACTGACAAAGTATGATGATTCTAAATCGATAAGTACTAGAGATACATAAATATAGCCATAAAATGTCAAAAAGTAGGTCACTGTGACCTACTTTTTGGTTGACATTCTCCGAAAACCCAAGATGCATCAACTGACAAAGTTTGATGATTCTAAGCCAATAAGTACCGGAGAATACTTAAATATAGCCATAAAATGTCGAAAGTAGGTCATCGTGACCTACATTTTTGTTGACATTTTTTAGAGTCCCAAGATGCATCTGCTGACCAAGTTTGATAATTCTAAGCCAATAAATACCTGAGATATTCAAAAGTAGGTCACCATGACCTACTTTTGGTTGAAATTCTCCGAAAACCAAAGATGCATCAACTGACAAAGTATGATGATTCTAAACCAGTAAGTACTAAGAGATACTTAAATATAGCCATAAAATGTCAAAAGTTGGTCACTGTGACCTACTTTTTGGTTGACATTCTCTGAAAACCCAAGATGAATCAACTGACAAAGTTTGATGATTCTAAGCCAATAAGTGCCGGAGATACTTAAATGTAGCCATAAAATGTCAAAAGTAGGTCACTGTGACCTAATTTTTGGTCGTCACTATCCGAAAACCGAAGATGCATCAACTGACAAAGTTTGATGATTCTAAGCCAATAAATACCTAAGATACTTAAATATAGCCATAAAATGTCGAAAGTAGGTCACCGTGACCTACATTTTGGTCGACATTTTTCAGATTCCCAAGATGCATCTCCTGACCAAGTTTGATGATCATAGGTTTAAAGGTAATCAAAATATGCCTTTTAAACAATTTGAAAAGAAATGCCTGCAAAATTCTAAAAGTAGGTCACAGTGACCTACTTTTTCTTAAATATGTTTTAAGGTCCCATGATGCAGCAACTTACAAGATTTGATGATTCTAACCCTTTCAGTGCCTGAAATAATGGGATTAAATGTTTTGAAAAGGATAAGTCATAAAGTTCAAAAAGTAGGTCACAGTGACCTACTTTTAAGTTGATGTTGTTCAAGGACCCAAGATGCATCAACTGACTAAGTTTGATGATCATAGGCCTTAAAGTATCCAAAATATGCCTTTAAATCAATTTGAAAACAAATGCCCGCAAAATTTAAAAAGTAGGTCACCGTGACCTACTTTTGAGTTAAAATGATGTGAAGTCCTAAGATGCATCAACTTACAAGATTTGATGATCCTAGTCCTTATAGTAAGCAAAATATGAACATTTTTATTAATTGTAAATTTAGGTCAACTTTAAAGTGACCTTGAGACCACGCCCTTTGCCCCAGGGTCATGCCTTGAACAATTTTTAATCTTCAACATATCCTGATCCTTGTATGTAAGTTTGGTGAAAATCTGCCTGGTGGTTCTGGAGAAGATTTTTTAGCAACCAGTACTTTTTGTTTTGTTTTCCTGATTATCTCCCCTTGATTCAGGGTCCCAACCCTTATTTTAGTATAATTGGTAGCCCTTGGGCCAAGGATACCCTGTGACAAATTTGACACTGATTGGCCAAGGGGTTCTTGAGTTATGGCCCATATTCTAAAAAGTTAACGCACACTGCACAAATGGCCATAGCATTAGCTCTTTGAGCCTTTGGCTCAGAAGAGCTAATAAAGGGGGAAAATTAAATCTCAATTATATAAAAATTTTCATTAATATTTCATCTAACATTAAAGTATACTTTATGTAAAATCTCTACAACTTGCACAAATCTCATGAAGATTAAAGTTATTTGCCAATGAAATATTATATACACATGAAAGAGGACAAAATGAGTCATTTTTCAACACTATAACACTTTTATTTTGATATGAGTGGGTCTTCTCTCCATTTTCTTTTAAATTTAATCCTCAAAATTTGCATGCAAACATACATATTTTGCAAAGACCCACTTTACTTTAAAAATATAATTATATGACCTAACTTTTGTATCTTTTTGAGAAATACTTGAAGTCCACTGAGTCAGTGGTCATATCACAAACATGATTTACAATGTAAATGCCACTCCTCATCGGGACTTGTGTAGAGTAGTGGTTAGCGTGCTAGTCTCAATAGAGAATGCAATTCAGGATTTTTATTGTCAGGGTTCGAACCAAATGGATGCAAAATAATAGTTTTTTTAAAAAAAAAAAAAGAATAAATGTTAACGAAAAAATTTCCTCAAAACTTTTTGTTTATCATGATTCTATAAAAATCAATATTTAGAACTTGACTAAATTCACAATTTGAATATGATTTTTATATATCTGAAGGTTGTGGTCTTCCTGCATGCTAAGTTCACCCATCTCAGTTACTGTAGACGTATTTTTTTCCACGGGGTCATAATTCCGCGGAATCTCAATTTCTGTTTAATCTGCATGTAGAAAATTACGCGGATTTCCTAGACTGTCACTATATGCCTTGCATTTTTATTAAGTACACTTGGATAAATTTCCACGGAAAGTTTGTGACCGCGTACATAGCGTAAATTAATACCACGCGGAAAAATGTACTTCTACAGTAATTAAAACATTGTCAAATTATTCACATTTAAACCAGATTAACAGCAAAAGATATTTTTGATCAAGGTACAGATGGGTTAAAAATTCTTGGACATCGAGAAACATGAAAATAATGCCAGATCTAAAAATGAAATTCACTGCATAACAATTTAAACATGTTTAATGATTTGGCAAAATTATGAACAAAAGATATTTTAAAAAAAAAATACTTACGTTCACATCTAAAACACTGTCAAGATCAAATTTATCCTGTAGTGCAATTGCTGAGTAAAGGCCCATATCATTTTTGCAATTCCTGAAAAAAATATAAATACAATTAGGACTGGACAATTTTACCAATATACAGCTGTACCGCAGTACAATGACAAAAACTGTCATATTGTGCTTAGAATCAGGATTTTTATAAAAAAAAATACATGCATATAGAACAAACATTCTGAGAGTATTACATTAGCTATATCAGTCCCCTACCGACAAGTGTAACCTGGTTCCCATAAAAAAATGATGTTTGCAATAATTCCGTAAAAATAACAAGAGGCCCAAGGGCCTTGAATCACTCTTCTGATAAATTGTACAACCTATCACTTGTATTTGAAGCCACTAACCCTAAGTATCCTAAAACCTAAGTTGCATCAACTGATAAAAAGTTTAATGATTCTTAGCCAATTAGGACTGAAGATATTTTTATAAAGCTATTAAAAAAAACCATTAGTAGGTCACGGTGACCTACTTTAAGATTGAAGTTTTCTGAGGACTCAGTTGCATTAATAGACAAACTAAGATTGAAGATTCTAAGCCAATATGTATTTGAGATATTCAAAAGTAGGTCACCTTGACCTACTTTTTGGTCTACATTCTTGGAAAACCCAAGATGCATCAACTAACAAAGTTTGATGATTCTAAGCCAATAAATACCTGAGATATTCAAAAGTATGTCACTGTGACCTACTTTTTGTTCGACATTCTCTGAAAACCCAAGAGGCATAAACTAACAAAGTTTGATGATTCTAAGCCAATAAGTACCAGAAATACTTAAATATAGCCATAAAATATCAAAAGTAGGTCATCGTGACCTACTTTTTGGTCGACATTCTCCGATAACCCAAGATGCATCAACTGACAAAGTTTGATGATTCTAAGCAGATAAGTACTGGAGATACTAAAATATAGCCATTAAATGTCAAAAGTAGGTCATCGTGACCTACTTTTTGGTTGACATTTATCAGAGGCCTAAGATGCATCTGCTGACCAAGTTTGATAATTCTAAGCCAATAAATACCTGAGATATTCAAAAGTAGGTCAGTGTGACCTACTTTTTGGTCGACATTCTCTGAAAACCCAAGAGGCATAAACTAACAAAGTTTGATGATTCTAAACCGATAAGTACCAAAATTACATAAATATAGCCATTAAATGTCAAAAGTAGGTCACTGTGACCTACTTTTTGGTCGACATTCTCCAAAAACCCAAGATGCATCAACTGACAAAGTTTGATGATTCTAAGCCGATAAGTACTAGAGATACATAAATATAGCCATAAATATTGAAAGTAGGTCACCGTGACCTAATTTTTGGTCGTCACTCTCTGAAACCCCAGATGCATCAACTCACAAAGTTTGATGATTCTAAGCCAATAAATACCTAAGATACTGAAATATAGCCATAAAATGTCGAAAGTAGGTCACAGTGACCTACATTTTGGTCGACATTTTTTAGAGTCCCAAGATGCATCAGCTGACCAAGTTTGATGATCATTGGTCTGATGGTAATCAAAATATGCCTTTTAAACAATTTGAAAACAAATACCTGCAAAATTCTAAAAGTAGGTCACAGTGACCTACTTTTACTTAAATATGTTTTAAGGTCCCAAGATGCAGCAACTTACAAGATTTGATGATTCTAAACCTCTCAGTGTCTGAAATAATGGGATGAAATGTTTTAAAAAGGATAAGTCATAAAGTTCAAAAAGTAGGTCACAGTGACCTACTTTTAAGTTGACGTTGTTCAAGGACCCAGGATGCATCAACTGACAAAGTTTGATGATCATAGGCCTTAAAGTGTCCTAAATATGCCTTCAAATCAATTTGAAAACAAATGCCCGCAAAATTTAAAAAGTAGGTCACCGTGACCTACTTTTGAATTAACATGATGTGAAGTCCTAAGATGCATCTACTTACAAGATTTGATGATCCTAGTCCTTATAGTAAGCAAAATATAGACATTTTCATTAATTGTAAATTTAGGTCAACTTTGAAGTGACCTTGAGACCACGCCCTTTGCCCCAGGGTCATGCCTTGAACAATTTTTAATCTTCAACATATCCTGATCATTGTATGTAAGTTTGGTGAAAATCTGCCTGGTGGTTCTGGAGAAGAAGATTTTTTTGCAACCAGTACTTTTGGTTTTGTTTTCCTGATTATCTCCCCTTGTTTTAGGGTCCCAACCCTTATTTTAGTATAAATGGTAGCCCTTGGGCCAAAGATACCCTGTGACAAATTTGACACTGATTGGCCAAGGGGTTCTTGAGTTATGGCCCATATTCTAAAAAGTTAACGCACACCGCACGACGCACACCGCACAAATGTCCATAGCATTAGCTCTTTGAGCCTTTGGCTCAGAAGAGCTAAAAATCATTGGAAAGAAAAGCAAACATGATCCTTGCCTTGATCATCAAGGATAAGTCACATACCAGAATTTCAACTCAATATCTGCAAGTGCATGTTTAGAATCAAAGGCCTGAAGGGCCTGCGAGTTGACTCGCTCGAGTCAATTGAGCTTTTCAGACATATGGGCACCATACCTTAATATATTCAGTTTATTTTGCATCTTAAGAGATTGAATACTGGTATTATATGTCTGATCCATGTTCGGTTCATAAATAAAGTGTATATTGCTTTTCCTTTATATATACAGTTTGGCACTAATGGGCTTCCATATTATTTTGACTGGATTCTATAATGAATTTCAGCACATTAGCTGAAGTGGTCAGTGTTATGGGATAATTAGGTTAAAGATTCCCACAGTAAATCTGGATTCTAAAAATAGATTTTCAACAACAACTAGCTGCAGCTAATGAGAGCATCAGGTGTTTGTGTTAGGGAGTATTCTAGGTCAATTATAAATAAACTTCAGATGGGAAGATTAGATCTGCCTAACATGCTTGAACATATATTCATACGCAGTAATTTTACATCATACAGGTATTTAATCAAAATTTTTTTTAAAAGCATACATGTATGAGGCAAAAATAATGTTACAGTATGAAATTTTATACAGTTTTTACCTCTTAAGTTTATACAATCACTCAAACAAAAGCATTTTTTGCTAGAACTATCATATTTGGCGTATGGATCACCTTGATGAATGCGTGAAAAATTTTACAGCTCTGAAACAGCTATGTCGACAGGAAGTAGCTCGCTACGCGAGCCAACTCAAAAAAAATTGCGGAAAACCCTTTTATATTGAAACAGTTGTAATTCCTTCAAAACTCACTGAAGCAGAACGAAATGGTCTTTAACTCATAAAGATACACTTACATACCAAATATCAGCTCAATATTTTCCAGGGTTTAGAAGAAAAGTGCTGAGAACATGAATATCAAAGTTTTGCATTGTTCATGTTCACTGCTAAAAGAACTTACTTTAAAGCATTTCCAATAGAAAAATTTGAAGAGGAGCTGTAATTTAACATCTTTTTCACATCAACCCCAACATCTTTCAGTATTGGTTCAAAGTCCTGAAATATAACTTACATGTATATTTTCTGCCTATACATGTACAACACTGACACAATCATGTTAGGTCAAGGCAGATGAATATATTGAAATGATCCCTAATGTAAAATTATGCATTACAGAAGTTAAGGTATAAAAAAATTATTATTTGTAGATGTTCCTAAGAACATTTTCCAATATTTCTAAGCAATGCTAACCTGTACATGCTCTACCCCTTGATTTAAGTTGCGGCAGACATTTGTATATAATGGTCCCCCAATAAGGAAGAGGATCAGAACTATATACATCACCAGCCAGTAAAGAAGGTACGTCCAAACCACTCCACTATTACAAAAAAAGTTCTATTAATCAAGGTATCTTACTCATTGTTGAGTAAAAAGGTACAATTCAAATACTGAAAAAACACAGTTTTGTGGGGTGAAATTTTCTACGTTTGAGAAAGAAATGTTGGTTTGCGGGGATTTGATTTTGTGGTTGGAGAAGTGTTAAGTATAGTAATGCAACTGAAATTTAACATTTCGAGGTGGTCATGAATAGGAGAGTCTCTCCAAATCTCAAATACAACAAAAATTAAACCCCCATGAAAATTGGTGATTTCACAGTATGAATGTACAATATACTGGGTACTTAAAACTTAAAGAGTCCTGAATTCTGTTGAATCATTGTATTTCAGGGAAATTCAATTTTCTTGGGTATCCCTTGCTCATAACTTCATTTATCTCAACTTTAATACTGTACTAGGTAAAAAATTAATGACCTTTTTTTTTTGTCCATGAAATATTCTCTATGAACAATTGAACTTGAATTTATAAAACAATCAACCAAAATTTGCTTCCACAAATTGCTAGTAATTGATTCAAATGTAATAAACTTTTAATTTTTTGTAACTTTATTATGAGAAGATAGAAGTCACCGGGACCAGTATGAAATTAATTTGCTATATCCGTAATTCGTTATAACCATAAAAGAAATTCATTAAATTTAAATAGCTGGGGATCCAAGATGACTTTGCTATATCCGTAAATTCACAATAGCCATGTTCGTACGAAAAGAGTTTTGTTGTACCACTAACATAGATGTTCATGTACACGCAAGTGAATGACATTATATATGCTTACAAGGGACTTTATGATAGCACTAACACAACAATCCTTTCAAACACAAACCTGACTAAGAAGTTGGAGCCAGTTCCTCTGTTACAGCAGGGTGCCCCATGTCCAGGTCTCTGTCCACACAAACCAAACATGATCCCCAGGTAGTACAGCACTGATGTCAAAACGATGACACAGGGAAGGCCAATACCTCCATACCATCTAAAGCATCATAAATACTATTGAAAAATCTTAAAATGCAGAATTAACGAACAAACAGATCTTTTTAGAAAAAAAATCCCAACCTGAATTTCTTCTGTTGATACTTACACATAATCAGCATAATCCTTTAGATATCCATCTATTTTGTCAATTTCTTTGAAAGTTGTGTTCCGTAAGTCATCAGCCTTAATGAAAATTTTTTTTTTTTATGTATAATATACGAGTAAGCACATGCATTCAATCATTTTTCTTCACTTAAAAATAATTTTAATTCATCAATAAAGAATAATTTATACTTACAAAATTTTCAGTTGTTCCAGTTAATTGGGAAATCTCATTTTCTAATGTAGTTTTTATACTCTCTGCCTTATCAGAAGCCTCTATAATTGAAACACAAAATGATTTCTTTAAAAGTAATAAATTTGCCCCCTGGTTGAAAATAATGCTCTTTTACATGCTGCTTCTACTTTAATCCTAGGAAGTATATTAACCATTTTTATCCAAACTAGGCTGCATTCAAATTGGAATCAGTAAGTAGAGTCTGGCAACTAGGCCATCTAGTTATTTGCATGGGATTGCATCATTTGAAATATAATGCTTATTGGGTTTGCCTAGATGTTAATCTCATCAGTGTTTAGGTGCTTTTGTATGCAGCCCTGCTAACAAGTTGCATATGTATCTTGTCTATATTGTTGTGAGGTGTGTTGTATTTGTATTGTTTCATCATGTATATCATTAGTAACATTAAGTTTCTTGAACATTCCAGAGTGGTCAACATGTTCGGTCATTTTTTCTAGAACATTCTTGAATTTTGTGTATGTCCAGATTGTTCCAGTAATATATCATGTTTTAACAATTTCTAGAATATTCTAGATTTATAATACTGTATAAATACCCTGTCAATTCGATGCATAGATATACTTTTGTCGTATGAGCACCATTGAGATACAACTGGGATATATTTTCACTGGGACATTGTGTGCAGCAACGGACACTCTGATGTATGTATTTTTAGATTCTTGCTAAGTTTTTACTTTATGTTTCATATACTTATTATATATTACTGTAAATAAATTATTGTTAAGTTTAAATTGTGTTATTGATCTTTGCTGGCATTTAGGGTTATTCTGACCCATAACAGAATATGTACATATATTCTTAAATAAATGTGATTTTTTTGTTCTATATTTTCTCATTAAGACTTTTTAGTGTATACATACTAAGGTTGTTTGAAAAGTTTGTGGACTTGCGCCATAAAATTAAAACTGCTTAAGATACATCAATGATTTTTTTAAGATTTAATTAGCATCTTTTTTATTTATATAATAAACTATACATCATTAATTGTCCTTTTTAATAAATTGTTGATATCTTTTTAAGCAATGGTATGTCCAGGCGGCACAACCTTGAAGATTACATTTTTTTCTACCTGAGTGTAATTGGAAAAAAGCTTTTATTTTATATGAGCACTTATCATCCAAAAATAACATTAATTCAGTCATGTTATATTAAACAATTAAACATTAAAATTAGCAATTTTTGCCCCATTCTGTAAGTTCTATAAAATTTCATAGTAAAATTTATATGAAATGTCAAAACGATTTATGAGTTGTAATAACGGCAGAGAGGGTGGTGGGTTTCTTTTTCTAACATGCTATAAAGTTTCATCCCATGGAAATACTGGCATAAACCTAGGAAATACAGGTATTTAAATTAGGGAATAACTATCTTCTAAATTGGTATTTGCGAACGTTAATACTGATTTGACCGTCGCAAACTGAGTTTTACCGGCGACGCGTAAGCAGAGCCAGTAAAACAGATGTTTGCGACTGTTAAATCAGCATTAACGGAAATACTAGCAAATACCAAATTAAAAGATTAGTTATTCCCATTCTAATGCAAATCATGCATTTTGTTTGTTGTTTACATCTTATTTTGATGAATTTGGTACATGAAATACGTCACGGAGCACTGTGTTTTTGCTTTGTTCTATTATGACGTCACAATGAAAAAGTTTTCACGCTCATTAATGATCGTTTTACTGCTTCAAACATCAGTCCATTAGCCAATCAAAAAGTGTTTTACAAAACAATTGCATTAGAATGGGCCATTGAAAATAAAATGCATTCAAAGTACTTATTTTTAAATACCAAAAAGACTAGAAAGACGAGAAATGTAAAAGTTAATGTCGATTTGTAGTAAGGTTGTTCAAAGTTTGTCAGACACATAGAAAATTGACATTGATCATGTGTGATAGATGTGGAACGCCAACAAGCAAATATGCTGTTATAATTAAGAATCTTTCACCATGAATAGATCTAATACAATATTATATGCATTGAAATCAGCTATTCATGACATTTTAAAATAATATAAACAAGACAAGTTTAAATCTTTCCTTAACTCCAAGGAATCTCATCAAGATAATGTCTAAGGTAAAGAATGTGGACACTGAGAAACAATGACGTCATGCAACTGATGGCAACTTTGCCGGGTGAACAAACAATGTCCTTTTATTTTATGATAATTTGGAAAATATTTAAGGTATCGAGCTAAAATTTTCAACATTTTTCTAACTTGTGTTGTTTTATGTTCCTTAAAAATTTTGTAGACATAAACTTAAAAGTAATAATCTTATCGCATCTGTCTTCAAACTTTTCGAACAACCCTCGTAATTAGTGAAAAGCAAAACTAATAAATACAAGCTCTTCTCTGTATGTTATAGGCCTTTTACATGTAAGTCGTACTGTGTATTCTGATTCAGACAGGTAACAGCAGGACAGCAACATTTTGTATCAATTCTTTTCAACTTTATGTAACAATATTTTACAATTTTAAAAATAAATACATGTACCTGCTATTGAGTCATTGATTGAACCTTTGACCTTTTGGACAACTCCGTCAAACTCATTTCTTGCCTATATATGAACGATAAAAAAAGGTACACTGTAAATGTATATCAAATTAATATTAAGTGCTACACATAATTACTGGTAAATGAAAGATTACAAGTACATGTATTTGAAAAGAGGAGGAAAAATATTGGTATGGTATCGCAATGACCTACATGTAAATACAATGTACAAAATATCACTGATAATAACACTTTAATAAAACTTATTCTAAAATATCTAACAATATGGACAATGTAATGCAATTTGTCTGAAAATACCTGACTGGTTAAAGATGTTATGTTAAGTGACTCGTTCACTTTTTTTAATTCTTTGTCCAGATCTGTCAACTGTAAAAACATAATTTTTCTTACATTAAACAATTTTTTACAAAACATGATTTAAAGGGTTCATTCTACCTATTCCCACTTTTTGAAAATTAGGTAGGAAAAGGTAAGATTTCATGTGGGAATAGGTGGAATTTTTGCCTAAACAAATAATTAACTATGAAAACGTAACTACTTTGTAAACAATTATCAACAATTATTAATGAATACCTGTTGGAATAGAGAACTGGTATATTTACTTTTTAGAATTTTGAATCAGACTTTTTTTAAAATAATATTTTAAAGAAAAGTAGGTGAATTAAATCATTTTTCACAATGTTCATTTTAAAATCCAGCATTCTCGATGTTTTTCCTCCAATAAATCTATTTATTTTATGTTCTAGAATCAAGATATGAAAGTGCTTATTCTTGTAAGACTTTTTCTTTGTTATTTTCTCAAATCCATAGATTAATTTTTAAGTAGTTCATATTTTTCATAAATGTATTTGTTATTTTCCGTCTTAAAATGTACAGAATACTGATAAATCTAAGAGGGGACATATTAAGTCTATTACTGTAAAAACAAATTAACTATCTAAACATTTATTGTTATTTGCAAGTGGGAATAGGTGGGATTGAGATTTTTAAAAAGTGGGAATAGCTAGAAGACACCATTTAAAGATTCAAGTCATATTTGCATAAAGTGTACATGGCTTGAGGCAAATTTACAGAAGTGTAACTCTTAATTCAAAGAGTCTGAATTTAGCAGTACTATTACATGTATTTCAATTTGCACAAAAATGTGTGAGCTAAGAACAACAAGAGGCCCAAGGGCCTTAAATCCTCTTCTGATAAATTGTACAATCTATCACTTCTATTTGAAGCCTCTAACTCTAAGTATCCCAAGATTCTTAGCCAGTTAGGACTGAAGATATTTCAGTATAGGTTAGGGGTGGGACGATACACACTTCTTGCGATACGATACGTATCTCGATATATTGGCACGATACGATACATATCTCGATATTATGAGAAATTTTAAAATCACTCAAAAGAATTAGTATTTTATTTCTTTTTTTTTGTCTTGACATTAAATCAACAAATTTTCTATATCAGATCATGTTTCCTTTGAAATTAATACTTGAATTCATCAATTTCGTTGACTGAAGCTTTACAAAAACAATAATACATGTACATACTATCATTACCAAATTACTACTGTAGATCACTTAATTTTCGCGACACCTTATTTTCGCGAGATAGTCATTGACTCTTTATCAGCGAGACAAAATTTTCACGAATTGTGTTTGTTGCTCTACATAATCTTAAGGAATTCTATTATACGCGAGAATGAAATTTTCGCGAGTATACCGTATCGCGTAATTACGCGAATATAAAGTTCTCGTGAATAAAAAGTGATTTACAGTATTCAGAAGTTGTTTACAAATAGTTGTGTAGTTTATCAGAAAACACTGACTAACAATTCATTTAAAAAACATCGATCACATTTACATTTTTATTAATTCATTGCTAAAAGTCTGTAGCCAAGTTGAGATTACAAAAAAAAAGTACAAGATGGACTAACAATTAATAATGTCAAATGTTCTGGAAACGATATTTTCTGTGTATAGCACGCATTACACATGTTACATACTGAACTTTTCTTGTCCAATCTTCTGGCCAATCTTCCGAGGCTGCTTAAAAGTGAAAACGTTTTACCCCTAACCAACGACTTATTAGTTCTAAAGTGTGTTTTCAATATCAACATCATCTTTTCGCTCGTACAAGCCGCCATTTTTCAAGGACAGGTACTTTCATTTTCAAGTTTTTGATAGGTCGTTCGTGTATCGTTTCGTACCGATATTTGAATGCTTGTATCGTAAACCGTATCTTAGAGGAAAATATCGATATGTATCGGTGTATCGGTGTATCGGTATATCGTCCCACCCCTAGTATAGGTATAAAGTACCATAAGTAGGTCACGGTGACCTACTTTTTTGATTTGAAGTTTTCTGAGGACTCAAGATGCATTAATTGAAGATTGATGATTGTAAGCCAATAAGTACCGGAGATAATCAATGGGATTAAATGTTAAAGAAAAGATTATAGCCATAAAATTAAAAAAGTACCGGTAGGTCACGGTGACCTACTTTTAAGTTGACTTATTTCAAGGACCCAAGATGCATCAACTGACAAAGTTTGATGATCATAGGCCTTAAAGTGTCCAAAATATGCCTCCTAATCAATTTGAAAAAGAAAGCCCATAAAATTTAAAAAGTAGGTCACTGTGACCTTCTTTTGTGTTAATATAATGTGAAGTCCTAAGATGCATCAACTTACAAGATTTGATGATCCTAGTCTTTCTAGGAAGCAAAATTAAGTTTTTATTAAGTGTAAATTTTGGTCAACTTTGAAGTGACCTTGAGACCACGCCCTTTGCCCCAGGGTCATGCCTTGAATAATTTTTAATCTTCAACATATCCTTGTATGTAAGTTTGGTGAAAATTTGCCCGGTGGTTCTGGAGAGGAAGGTTTTTTTTTTAGCATCGAGTACTTTTGATTTCATTTTCTTGTTTATGTACCCTTGTTATAGGGTCCCACCCCTAGTTTTAGTACAAATGGTGGCCCTTGTGCCAAGGATACCCGTGACAAATTTGACAATGATTGGCCAAGGGGTTCTTGCGTTATGACTCAAGTTTATGCATGCCACACAAATGGCCATATCATTAGCTCTTTGAGCCTTTAGCTCAGAAGAGCTAATAAAATCTGTATTACTCAACTTAGTTACATATAATATATTATAAGTATATAAGCATGTATCACTTAGATATGGAGCAGGACCATACATCAAGGAAATCAACAATAAATAGGGGGATAATATCATATATTAATTTGATTTTCAAAAATTAAAATATAAACACTTTGCTTTTTATGAATAGAGAAAAGTAAAAAAAAAATATTTAAAATGTGATTTCTTTTTTTTTTTTTAATGAATGCATATATATATATATATATAAAGATCAAAGTATAATTTCCTTATCAACTGGAATTTAGGGCACAAATCACCTGTTAGGAATACATATCTAAGAAAATAAACTAAATTACCGCCGTAAAATTCTGGTTGACTCCCTGCAGTGTTGGACAACTAGAAGCACTAACACCTTTACTTGTACATGAATTACTTATGTTAGTATTGATATCTGTGACTTTTACATCCAGGACATTCTTTTTATAATCCCTCAGGTCTGTTAAGGTTCTGGTTACATCAACTAGGGCATTAAATACATTGGTTGCATCTACAAAAAATATTTTTAATCTTCACTAAGTATTATTTAGAGTACGAGTTTCTTACTGTATCAGAGATACAGGGCGGGGCTTGAGGCGAGAGCGATAGCTCGAGCCGGGCCCCGCCCTGTATCTCTGATACAGTAAGAAACGAGTATTCTAAATGACTTGTGACATGACCTTTCTAAGGACCTCACTAATTTACATGCGTATTTGGGTGTATACCTCCCAGCCAATCAAATGATTTTGCAGAAAGTTGATTGAGTATCCCATTTTAAGCATTTTCAACTGAAATGCCAAGCGAGATGGACGTGCAGGTATCTATCATTTTAAATTCATTTAAGAGATGCATAAATTAATTTGTTTTCCAAAAACTTTATTTAGATTTAATTGCGCAGGGTTTTTTTTTCTCTCTGCAGCTCTTGCTGATCTTTTGATGACATTTTTTTTCAGTTTAAGCTACGATTTAATGCAAAACATTTTGATATATAAGAATCATGTGGGAATATTTTTGAAACAAAAATGCTTCGGGAGATCGTAGATTCTGAGAGAAATGTCCGACAATGTCCTCCACCGGTGGTCATATACAAAATTGAAATAAGCAGATGAAAGGAAGGGGGGGGGGGTATTTTACTTCACGTTTTCATTAAAATGTAGAGTAACCAAACGGGGATACAACACTCACTGGTGCCCCCATCCCACCTTTGAGTTTTTTTCTCTTTCGCTTTCTTAAATTTTTTTTTCTAAACTTGTATACATATGGTTTTTAATTCATCAACAAGTAACCAAATGACGCACATAGGTGTTGGTTGATTATAAATCTACCCCCAGGGATCGTTGATATTTTTCAGATACAGTACAGTTTCTGCTCATTTGCATAAGAAACGCCCACAAAAAGTGTTTTGTATCGCAGTTACAGTATGCTTTACTTCAAAGGAAAACTCGCCGGGTCATGTCACAAGAGTGAAAATACAAAGCATGTTCTTTTTAAATTGGTATTATCTCTGTAAATACAGAATTTATTCAGCAATTTTGTGTGTGTGTGTGTGTGTGTGTGTGTTTGTTTGACCAAAGATGCTGTATCCATTTTTGTAAGCTTGCCTATTTGTGATGCAATCATTTAAATTTTTAGAATAAACTTTATGTTTTAAATATGTTCATTTTACTGAGATGTTTAGTCGATAATAATTCTGCAAAATTTAAGTAATTTTAAAATTGCAGTCCATCAAAGTCAAAGAATTAGATAGCTTAGAGCACAAGAATTTAACTAAATGTTTCTTGGAAATTAAAATTTAACCAGCAAACATACTCACCTTTTCCTAGGCCCTCTGTCTGGTTTAACAGGGAGTCTGCATTGATCAACTTTAAAACTTCTTCTACTGTTGTGTTTGCTGACTCTAAAATATGTTCATTAATAATCAAGATTAGACAGAATGACAAAGCAATGACCATAACAAAATTTATCATAAATACCTCCATGTTAGGTAGCTGATAGTTTAAGATGTTACTGTAAGCAAAGAATAAAATTTTTACCATGATCTTGCCAACAAATTATAGCAAAACATGCTAATGGGGAACACACTTATAATGAATTGATGCATATAACAAGGGATTTTTTTGTTCCCAATGGCATTAAAATATTACATATATATCCAAAGATATACTGTTACAGTAATGAATTATGTTTATAACAAAGCAAAATAGTTCATTCCCAGCACCATGTTTTAAGCATGTTTTGCTGTATATAGTTTATCATACGTCACCTTTAATTGTTGCCACAATCCGGTTCACAGTGCTTGTAACTTCAATTGTTGTTTTACTGTTCAGGTCCTAAAGAAGCAAATAAAAGCATAGCTTATGAATTGTGACCAGCACAAAATCATAAAGTTAAACATTTGCTACTTTTTTCTAAGTTAGATAAATTACTAGGGATGTGCAATTTTATCGGTATATCGCAATTTTTTGTTGCGTGATTATGACGTATCGTGATACGGAGACCTAAATACAGGTATTTAGGTACATATTATAAAGTCAAGAAATTATTCATTAATTTGTTCAATCTTTCAAATTACAATTATAGAAAGTTTAAAAAATGTAAACGGCGAAAAGAATGACACCTTACCATCCAAACATGATTAATGTTGGGTACATAAAAATTTCAAAAAATTGAAATTTTGTTTTTCTAGCATATTTCTCAGAAAAATAATGACAATTCATTAAAAATCATTGTGAAAAGTGCTTGTGAAAATATCATGACATGATTGTGATATTTAGGGGAAAAAAACCTGATATATTGCAATCTGAAATTTTTGGCGATACCCATCCCTATAAATTACCTTCTGATTTTATTTATACTTTATATATTCTTGCATAAAGTGCTAATTCAGATAATCCTAATTTCAAGATGATTTTAAGATGGTGAACTAAATAACTTTACCTTTGTGGTCTGTGCTGCGTAATCTGCTAATTCTGACAATCCTGATTTCATATATTGTACAGGACCTCGCTGGTCTGAGTTCTGTAACTTGGTATGAAGGACTTCATTTGAAATAATGGCCACAATAGCACCAGTCCTGTTTAAAAATATTGAAATAATAATAAATAACCCATTATTTGAAAATCAGAATTTAAGAAAAACTTTTTGATCTGGATGACTTTAAAAATAAAACTAACTACACTGACAATCTAAAAAATATATTTCGATGCTTTTACCCCTAAGAAACATACCCCATGCTCCCCTAAAACTCGAAGTGCTGAAAATCCCGAAAAAATAAAGGAATCAGAATTTCTTGATAATATGCACATCTACACATTGTGTCCTAAATATCTTCAAAGTTTGACCAAATTTTGTGCAGTGTTTTATGAGGAGTTGCACTGACAACTGTTCATCTCTATATTCAAGGTATGACCAAAAATCTAAGTTGAAAGGTGCGGAAATTCCAGGAAAATAATAAAGGAATCAGAATTTCCTGGTAATACTGTAGATCACTTAATTTTCGCGACACCTTATTTTCGCAAGATAGTCATTGACTCTTTATAAGCGAGACAAAATTTTCACAAATTGTAGTCATTGCTCTATATAATCTTAAGGAATTCTATTATACACGAGATTGAAATTTTCGTGAGCAATTCCATCTCGCGTAATTATGCGAAAATAAAGTTCTCGCAAATAAATAGTGATTTACAGAATGCACATTTACACATTGTGTCCTAAATATCTGCAAAGTTTGACGAAATTCTGTGCAGCGGTTTATGAGGAGTTGCGCTGACAAAAAAACAGGACTGACTGACGGACGGGTCAAAAACATTATACCTTACGCAACTTGTTGTGTGGGGTATAAAAAAAACTTACAGCATCATTGTTGCAAAAATTGCTAAAAAGAGACAAAATGTTGCACGTTTGCAACCAGCTGATTTTGGATCTGATTTTTCTCGTGCTTTCCCGCATCTTTTGCAGCAACAATAGCAGCAACAGAAGAAGAGACCGATGATGGGCATAAAGATGGCAAACAGCAACCCAAACACAATACAGGCTGCGTAGCCACCAAATACTGACACCATCTGGAAAAAAAAAAGAAAATAACAATCTAGATTATCATTCTTTATCCCCTTTCATGGCAAAGATTTTAAGCATTTCTAGAGAAATTGATATCAAGATTTCAATGCATTTTTAAGGATATTTCTTGAAATCTTTGTATATACCAATGAATGTAAATATGTTCAGAAAGCCGTTATTGTGTAGTTTCAAAAAATGATTATACAAATATTATTTCCATTGCCATGGCAACAAAATACACCATAAACAACCTAGATACGTAAATTTCATGAATTCCTTTATGGATATAATGAATTACAGATATAGCAAAAAGTAATTTCATGGGTCTGAGTGACTTCATTATAGTGGAGTTTAATTGTAATAGTAAATCCCTCAACTAAACTAAAGTTTTCCTCCTTAATTTAATAGTTAATAAATTTTTAATCAGTAATATTACTTACATCCTGCCATCGGTCAGCTAACTTTGAGAGGGTACCATTGGTTATAAAAGTCTGGATTTCATTATAATCTGGAAAAAAAAGGGAAATTGTTAGAGATAGATTTTATGACATATCTTTATCATTAATTAATGAATATATAACCATTACTGTAAAAACTATGGATATACATGTACAATTGCAGATTCAGATATACAGCATGTCAGAAATTATTAAGACTATGACCAATTTGTATATTAGACCATGAAAGTTGATTACTGGACCTAAAATTCATCAACTCAAATTAAATATTCTGAGCCTTTTGCTTGAATCTTGATTGAAAAGGTATATCAACAAATGTTTTTCATTCACAATTGTCTGTATATTTGTATTGAAAGAATAGAATTATGACAAGGTCCACCATCTTTATTTAAATAAATGCTTTTTTTTGGTCTCATTAAAAAAAAAGTCACAAGTATGAAATTTTTTCCATCTTTTTCAATCATATAGACATTACATGTACAAGGTTTCTGACCCCCATCTGTGACAGATCATTTAATTGATATAATTATAACATGCAAAGAGCATAATGCAGAGTTTATGGAACGCCGTCACTGCCTTATAGCAGAACACTACAATTTCATTGTGTCAACTTTCCATTACATTATGTCAACTCTTTATGACATTTACACACACTGCTATTGCATTATTTCAACTTTCCATTACATTATATCAACTCTTAATGACATTTACACACACTACTATAGTGTTATGTCAACTTTCCATTACATTATGTCAACTCTTTATGACATTTACACACACTACTATTGCATTATTTCAACTTTCCATTACATTATATCAACTCTTTATGACATTTACACACACTACTACAGCGTTATGTCAACTTTCCATTACATTATGTCAACTCTTTATGACATTTACACACACTACTATTGCGTTATGTAAACTTTCCATTACATTATGTCAACTCTTTATGACATTTACACACACAACTGTTGCATTATGTCAACTTTCCATTACATTATGTCAACTCTTTATGACATTTACACACACAACTGTTGCATTATGTCAACTTTCCATTACATTATGTCAACTCTTTATGACATTTACACACACTACTAAGCGTTATGTCAACTTTCCATTACATTATGTCAACTCTTTATGACATTTACACACACAACTGTTGCATTATGTCAACTTTCCATTACATTATGTCAACTCTTTATGACATTTACACACTACTATAGCATTATGTCAACTTTCCATTACATTATGTCAACTCTTTATGACATTTACACACACAACTGTTGCATTATTTCAACTTTCCATTACATTATATCAACTCTTTATGACATTTAAACACACTACTATAGTGTTATGTCAACTTTCCATTACATTATGTCAACTCTTTATGACATTTACACACACTACTATTGCGTTATGTCAACTTTCCATTACATTATGTCAACTCTTTATGACATTTACACACACAACTGTTGCATTATGTCAACTTTCCATTACATTATGTCACTTCTTTATGACATTTACACACACAACTGTTGCGTTATGTCAACTTTTCATTACATTATGTCAACTCTTTATGACATTTACACACACTAACTATTGCTTTTTGTCAACTTTCCATTACATTATGTTAAGTCTTTATGGCATATCTCGCACTTCAATTACATTGCGCCAATCCTCCATTGCATTATATCAGCTCTTTATGACATTAAGTCAAAACAATTTTACGTGGTGTAAAGATGTTTTTATACAATTTCAACTCATTATTACATTATGTGCACTCTCTACTATTTGGTCTAAGTAGTTCATTACATGATGTGAATTTATCTTTAATTCAATATCAAGTCGCTGTAACACGATGTCAGAATTTTATTACATGATGTGAAAAAAAATGTCACATGTGGCCAATTCTTTACTATATTGTGTCATCAATATGCTATATGACGATGGGAATCTATTACATGTTGTCAATTTTTCCTTACTTTTTGACAAATCATTATTATGTTATGCCATTGTATCTTTACATTGTGTCTAAAATGCTTAGCCTCTTGTCAGTATATCTTAGAATATTTCAACAATTTCGTTTTGTGTTTTTAATATTACATGCACCTATGTTAAACATGCAAATAATTTAAATTAAACATATCAAATATTAAATTATACACAAGACTTAATTAATCCTTTATTAAATATCAGGTTAAATTTATAAATAGGATCATGTTCCCATGAAATCTTTATTGACAATTGTTTTTTTTAACGTCGAAATCCAATGGCCACTTAATCTCATATAAATATCGCAAATCAAATAGTATGTGTCATGCAGCAATATTTTTCTTTTTATTTTGAATTACTTTGAAAAGTCCGAAACTTCTGATCTAACTTCAAAACACTGTCCTAAGCTTTTTATCAGTCTTTAACCCTCCTTTTTAAAAAAAAAGTGTAAACACATCATATTTCATACGTGCACTGGTGGGGAGAGGGGGGATCCCGCCCTCCCATCTTTAGTGACCAAAATATGCATGAAATTAATCAATTGATTTTACTTTGTAGGATATTGCATTAGTTTTACATAAAGTGTAACTGAAATAAGTTGAAACGTTTTATACAAAAAAAAAATCTAAAGCCTGAGAGCTTCTGGGCTTTCACCCCCTGGTCCCCAACTTATACACCATATCATCACCCTTCAGCTACTCTTTTCAAGAACCAAAGATCGCCACTGATATAAGCCCATTTTTACTAAGGCAATTGGTCAATTGATTACAGTGAGGGACTGGTAGATTTTCGTAACAGAATTCTGATCCTGAAATGGTTAAAAAATGATTAATTCCAGTGACGTTGAATCGTTTTTGAAGGTTGGGGGAGGTTTGTCAGCCAGAAAAAAATATAGTACAAGAAAAAGAAAAAAAATCCAAACTCGAAAATCCTATTTTGGGTGAAGGGGGGGGTCCAACTTCGATCAGTCCTAAAAAAAAATTCCAAATATACTACATTACCCTTATACTTCAGCAAAAAGTGGGGCTGAATTTCAATGAACATTTTCTATGATAAAGTTATGTCGGAAAAAAGAGGAAGTCAGACCCCCCCCCCCCCTTCTCATATAATGTGTCTAATTAATCAGGACCCCCCCCCCTTCCCAGTCGTGAAAACACTGTTATCAACATTGACTTAACGTAAATTTATGTATTTTACAGCACGTAATGAACATTTGTAATCAACATGATAAAGAATTAACACAATGTAAAGATAGTTCTAAATCACATAAGAAAGAGTTAACATATTCTTATTAAATATCCACATAAAGGAATGGAGTTTTGACATAATGTAATAAAGTGTTGATATAATATGGAACGCCGGGACTGTCTCCATAATATATGTTCACATTATGTTAAAAACCTTTTTACTTAACGTAATAAAGCACTGACATAAAGGTAAGATGTTTTCACCTCACATTGTGATGACCTCGGCCTAAAATAAAGATACATCAACATCACGTAATAATGCTTTGTTGTAATAGAAATATACACTCACAAAAGGGAATGGACTTTGACTTAATGTAATGATAAATTAAATAATAGAACACATGTAAAACGAAATTAACTTGACGTAATGCAATTTTGACCTCACATATTAAAGAAATGAAATAATATAAAGAATTTATATTCATTTCACGCAATAAAGTTTTAACACAATGTAAACATACTTTCACTTCACATAATGAACTTTAGTCTTCAAGTTATAAAGTGCCGACATAATGGAAGAATGTGTTTACTTCATGTAATGCAGCATTGACATGGTGTAAAGATATTTTTACATCACCCCATAAAAAATTGACATAACGTTAGGATATAATGTTCACATCACGTAATGATAGATTGACATAATGAATGCTACAGCATTATTGTCAAATAATAGCATTTATGTAATCATGTGTTTTATGGTACCAGGTTTTTGTTTTCTTAAAATCAAAACATATCATATGTATGTGTATTTGGCGTCTATCGGAGAATTAGCCAAACCTGTGAATTAGCCAAACCTGTGTACATTAACCAATCAGAAGCGTGTATTTTCTTGTGTCTCAGATTAGCGCCACTTCACTGATTTAGAGGGAAAACAAAAACACGTTAAATTTTTCTACTTAAGAAATCACCCACCCACCTTCCCCAGCTTTCACCGTCAGTCAAATATCAAACATTTATGTTTATGGTAAAACATGTTTGATTATTTAATGTTATCTTCTTTTCTTAAAACACAACAGTGGGTTGTGTGGGGGGCTTCTGTTTTTATTTTTGAACGCCAACTTTTTGCTTGTAATGTATATATGTTTTACAATTTTTTCTGTTATTTCGTACATTATTTTGACATGTAACAGGGGAGATCATTATACAACTTTACTTGTTTATGTAAAAGAATATTTGTATAAGGTTTTTTGATCTCCCCATTTATTGTATTCTTTAATACTCATTGTCATTTTCAATAAATGACAATTCACACAAATATGGAGTTGTGATTTTTATCCAGGAAGAAAGTGGAAGGTTATTTAGATCTCAATAATATGTAAACAAGCAGGTATTACATAAATAGTTTTATGATATAAGGCAGTGATGGCGTTCCATAAGAGTTCCTAGAATCTTGTATATAAACCAGTACAGTGCAGTACAGTGAACCAGGAAGGTAATGCTTATCTACACAAGATCAAGATAACATGGTTTAGCAATTCTGTAAATTAACTGGAGTCTTCTGAGTAGCTCATATATCTAAGCCATTCGTCACATTTACTGGTTATCTGCATTTGCAATAACACTTAATGCAAGGAAGAAAGATGTGAAGAATACTTTAATCTGCTAATATATCCTCAGCTTTTTGATTTACAATGTATATAAACATGATAAATGTATATATACTACTAACTGTCGGTCTGTACTTAGTATGCATTTTAAGTTTTATCTTCCTTGAATCTAAGTACATACATGTCACCTCTACATATTTTAAATATATTTTGGAAATATGCTCAAGTCATAGATGTCTCACATTTTAAAATTTTGTGAAACAAGTACGGTATGTTCATTATCATGCAAGTAAACTATATCAGCATGTTGAAAAAATATTTTGGAAACCAGGCTACAAAATTGTAAAGATAAATGAAAATTTTTTTTGAAGTAAAGCTAATAGGATCAAAACAAATATATGTGCAGACAAGAAGATCATGTCTCTCCATGCTATCTGTTGACAACTCAGAAACAGGCTAATTAAGTCAAACAAATACCTGGTAAATACATTTTTATTCAAAATGCA